TTAGCTATTGCCTAAAGGGGATATGTAATCAACTTTTGGAGTCAAACCCATTTATGACAGTTCCCCAAGCAAATCAACCTTAGCAAGCACGAAAAGAGTATGGCTTAGTTGTTTTTACAGACAAACTTTCAGAAAGTAATTCACTAATCTACAAATAATCAGCTTTTGAAGTGACCCCAATTCAAGATAGCCACCATGGCTAATCAACATTTGCTAGTACATAAATGACTAACTCGATTGTATAGATGCTGAACTAAATTTTGGTGTGGTAGTAGCTGAGAATCATCCTGAACACATACTTCAAGCACCCGCAAATTACACAAGATCTAGAAATGCATGAGATTGTGCATAATGTAATTTAAGGGGATTTTAGCAGCCTGTTTCATGCATGCCCACTGTTACAATCTGAACTAAAAATAAATAAATAAAACGGATAAAATGGAGCCAGTTTTGTAAGTATGTTAACGTTTGTTTCATTTTATCATGATTGTATCATCGTTAAGTGTTAAAGTCATGCTAATAAAGTTATAGAACTAGAAGAAATCAAAAAATATATCAAAGATAAAATCGGCAGCATGTATTGTGTGAAAATCTTTAACCAGGAACGGACAGTTCATTTGTATTTTTAATTGTTCACGACATTGTTATCGCCACCTAGTGGTGTGGCATGAGTGTTGTTGAGCATTTTTGTTACGTATGTGAATGGATGGTTTTATTTATTTATTTATTTATTGGGAAGGTGGTAATCAAACCAGGAAGGAAATCCACATCAACACTGAAAAATGGATAAAAAAAAATTTAAAAAATGCTTGTTTATCTTTAGTTAAAAGATCAATATTCACCCATCCTGCACTCCTCTGTCTTCATGGTGTCTGTAATTTCCTATCATAGCACATAGAATATAAATATGTTTAAGCTGCAATATTACATAAAAACACTGGCATTGTCTAAGTGACTGCATAAATTGCACCAGATGTGAGTGTAGCTGTAATTTTATGTAAACTAAAATCATTTTGTGAATCACATCAATGTTACACTAATTACAGAGAATGAACTTGAAAGACTTTATTATTTCCCATTTATGCAGCGCTGCTCCTGCACAGCTTTAATAATATATTGTTAGGAAAAAACAAGCTTCCTATATGCTGAGCTACAGGAGGTCATTCAGTCATTTTGAAGGCAACGTGCAGACTGAGGACGCATGTTTAAAAAACAACAGGAGGAGGAAACGTCTGTGGAACGATTGAACAATAAATTTTCAGGGGATGGAAAGTTCAGGGACAGGTGAAAGGTAACACGGGGAGAAGATGGTGAAAGTGTGAGGGGATAACCACAGACGGGTAGGGAAAGGTAATGGGACAAGAAGGAACAAAGAAGAGGGAGAACAACCGAGGAGGGCGTAATGGAGGTATTTTGTTTGAATTAAACGGTGATGTCGAGGCTTGTGACAGTTTAGTCAATAGCAATGAATCTCCCGTCCTGTTTGAGCGTCAGGATTAGTGGCGGACATACATCAAGGTTAGAGCAGGTGGAATGGAATAAAGTTTGACTTGTTGTGTTTGTTTACATTTAAGCCCTTATTTTATATCACCGCTCGTCTGTGGCTTTAAACGCACCTTTGTGAGTGATGAGTGAACTAATCATCTTCATCACCTGCTGCCAAAAGGCCAAAAATATGTGTGTGTGTGTGTGGGGGGGGGGGGTGCTCCTTTGTCGGTTGTGTGAGCAAATGTATTGAAGTTTATAGGTACTGAGCTGAAATTTGTTGAAGTAGTTGAGTCATCACCAACACAAACTCACATCGCTCATCAGCTGTACTTGAAAATTGGTCACTTACTGTTGGAGTCAGCTGTGTCTGTCTGTTAGCAAAATATCTCATGAAGCACCGCTTGAATTTTTGTGAAACTCTCCAAAGGTAATTATTGGATGTGCCTTTACAACTAATAGTGTGAGCGTTTATGAAGCATTCCACACTATTGTGATCTGTTTTTTCTTCCGTACATTTTACGGCATCTTTCTCGTTCTACAATTTTTGTGCTATTTCAATTAATCTTATACAAAAACTCTCAGGAGAAGGGTGCTTTGAGTTTTGGTATTGGTGCAACTTTAGCTTTTTGAAATATTTGCCTTTTTCTGCAACTTTTTTTTCTCTGATTGTAAATGAATTGAGCTCATTTTACATCTTTCATATCTTTAGATCTGTTTACAACCTCTTACTACGTGTTCTGCTTCAGCTTCTTTCAGCTTACTTGTGCAAATTTAAACATATTTTTAGCTACTTTCAGCTAATTTCAGCTGTTTTTTCAGCTGTTTTGTGATCCTTTTAGATTCTTTCTGCTAACTACAACATTTGTGTGCTTCTTCTAACTTCTTTCTGCTCATTTCAGCTTATTTTGCTCCTTCTGCAAATTTCAGCTTTTTTTTTTACTATTTCAGCTACTATTTAGCAGTTTTATACTCATTTTAGCTTTATTAGCTAACTCAATATTTTTTACACTCATTTCAACTTTTTCAGCCTAATTCAGCTAAAAAATTTGCTCTCTCCATTTCCTTCGTCTACTTCAAGCTACTTTATGCATTTTTAGCTACTTTTCAGCTTATTAGGCTCCTTTCAGCTTTATTTTGCTTCAGCTTTTTCTACCATTTCAGCAACTTTTTAGCTATTGTACTAAATTTAGTATTTCCAGCTAATTTCACTTTTTTTTTAGCTCATTTCACCTCATTCCACTTCCTTCTGGTAGTTTAAGCTTCTTTCTGCGTTTTCAGCTACTTTTCAGTTATATTGGGCTTATTTCGCCTTTTTTTGTAGCTAAATTACTATAATTTTTACTCATTTCTGTTTTTTTAAACCTAGAAATTGAGCACATATGTGTTCCTGCTGCTTTCTTCTGCTAACTTAGATTTGTTATTCAATTTCAGCTACATATCAGCATGTTTTTAGCTAATTTCAGCTGTTTTTCAGCAAGTTCTACTGCAATAAACATTCACACTGCATTTTCGCAGGAAATGCAATTTCTATAGCTATCTTTTTAGTCTGTTCACTTCAAGATGGCCTACCTAGCTGATCTTAGCGTAGCACACTTGAAGTGGACCAGTAGCGAAAAGGCACTAACATCTACTATGTTCCTCCAAGAGCAATGTCACGCCAACCGAATACCGAACTAATTATTTTATTGCTTCCCACAAGCAATAAAAACAACTTTATTTACAAATGTAGAAAAAATAAAATACAAGCAAAATTAAACGGAGCTATTTCCCTTTTATGAAAAAAATTAAATAAAAATAAGTTCAGTTCTTTAGCACCGTTGCTACCCAGGTAGTGTTGTGTTTGGAATCTTATCTGTAACCCAAGATGGATTTTCCAGATTGTGAAGGTTCTTCTGTCTGTCTTCTTCTGTCCCGGCTGACCACACCCTGTCCACAGTTTGCATGGGCTCGGCTCGCCATCATGATCAAAGAATCCAGAGTCACTATAAAACCAATCGGAATTTCCACAAGCTATTACCCAACAAGCGATCACTTCGATCTCTCACTGGGATTTCCACAGATAATTCTCAATGAGTGGTCGCGTCTGTCACTCATAAACAGGTTGTAAGGTCCACAGTGTGGTCGGTCAGTGCACGTGTAACGAGCATGTCTCCAAATACAGGGAAAAATTACCAAACCACGTTGGTTAAATTCAACACAGTAAAACTGAGTGCCTTCTGCTGGACCTTCCTGGTATTATAACCTAAATTACAGATATGGGTTTAGTAGCCCAATGTTTCATGTGGGTTACACTAACCAATGCCAAAATAGCTACAACTCAGCCTGAGCTCAGATATTGAGCTAACAGTGATGTGGTAGCAGCTGAAAGTCATATGCAACACATACGTAGAGCTCTAATAGATTGTTTGAGAGCTCACAATATTGCATACAGTAACTCAAACCTCATTTTCAAGGTTTAAACAAAACATCTGTATCTATTTTTTTTTATTTAAAAAAATGTTTTAAACTGTGGCATGAAAGCTTGTGGGCAATGCATGTTTCCTAAACGTCTCATATATGCTTTAACAATGTCTGTTTCTACTTCTGCCTTTTAAGATTGGAGTAAAAATATTGCCGGATTTGAGCTTTCTTTGAGGTTTAGATTGTTCCACGAATGTGTTTCTCTCC